TTTTTTTTTTTTTTTTTTTTTTTTTTTCTCCTTCCCCCCGTTTGTACCTACACACGTGTGTATGCAGATATAGGTGTGCCAAAATGGCGACTTGGTGAAAGGCGCGTCTTCTCAGTCTGCCTCTCACACATCTGCTGCTGCGATGGTGTGACGCTGCGCGCCGCGCTCACTTCTTCTGTATGAACTCATTTTTGATCTCGTCGGCCGTGAACAAGTGTGTGTTGTAAATCCGTTTCATTTTCTTAACGACGGGCGCGAACTTGTCCTCCTTGTTTTTCCTCTTGGGGGCATTGTCATGCACGAAAACTTTGTTGGTGGACTTCAATTTGTATTCTTTTAAAATGTCGTCAAGGTTGGGCAGCGTAATTTCGTCCCAGAGGTTTTTAATATCGTTGGTGATGGAGTAGCGCTGCTGTTCTATGTGTTCATAAGAAAGAGGGAAGAAGATATATCCCTTTAAATTGTAAAAGCAGTTATCACATTTATTTTTTGCATAGATATCACAAAAGGATGGCAAATGTTTGCACTTTAATTTTCCTCTCAAATGGCTGTTATTCGATCGTATACAACGAACTTTTTTTTCATAAAGCAAAGTGTTAATCCATTTGTAAATGTTTTTATTGGTATTAATTAAATCGTCATTAATTTCGTATCCGTACAGAAACCCATGTTTGTTTATTTTGTTTAACAAGGAAGTGACGCTTGTTATATCTACATAGGGATTCACGTAGCAAATTCTTTTTTCATTTAAATCAACTTTTATTTGCTTTGATGAAGCCAAGTAGCTTAGCAAAGCATGGTTACTTATGTCTACCCCTTTGAACCCTAAATTTATTAACATGTTTTCTATGTGGAAAAATGATATGCCTTTGTTTGCCACTCCTGGGTTGTTCGTAATATGGTTAGTATAGTGCGACTTTAATATTGTTAGGACTTTATGGTAGAGGAACGAAAAGGGGATTAACTCATTTTTGTAGTATATTTTTAGGTTACTTTTGAAGAGGGACTTGTTTCCGTGGCGTAGTTGCACCCCTCCACCGCTTGGCGCGTTTACCGCAACGCCGCTTCCACCGCTACTCACGTACTCGCTAACATTTGCTGTGCCGTTGAGGTTTTCACAATTGGTGCCCGCGTCGTTCATGTTCAGGCTGCCGTTCATGTTCAGACTGCCATTCAGGTTGGTGCTGTCGCTGAGGCTTAAGCTTTCGTTAAAGTTTACATTGTCGTGTAGGTTTAGACTTTCGTTGAAGGTTGTGTTTTCGTGGGGATTGGTGTTCGAGCTGTAGTACTTGTTGTCGTTGCTAGCGTTGTTCGGGGTGCTCGCCTTTCCGGGGGAGGTGACATTACCGCCGATGTGCTTCGCATGACTAACGCTACTGCTGCTACTGTTGTCTTTTGTTACAGAATTGTTCGAGTTTGGGTGATTTACTCGATTGGTGGTCATCCCGCTTTTTTGCATAATGCCCTTTGACCCCGCGAGGTTTATTTTTATATTTTTGGACACACCCTTTACGGGTCCTTTTTCCAAAGGGCTTCTCTTAGCCACCCCACTTATGCTGTTGCTTGGCATGTTGGCACTACTCACATGGGGGCTGTTGCTCCCATTTATGTGATTGCTCCTGGCACTCTGGTCATTTTTTCTAATGCTTACGCTGATGAGGTTCTTTTTCTCCCCGCTGTTTAACTTAAATTTCATTTTTTCCTTTTTCCTTTCTGTGTCTTGCATTTTACACTAATGCAGGTGTCACGAAAGTGATAGAAGGGGGTATGGCAGAGGAGGACCCCGGTGGGGGGACAGACCGGGGAAACAGGCTTCACGGGGAAGGCTTCGCAGGGCTGCGAGTCGCTCGTTTGGGTGCCCTTACACATACATGCGTGTTATCGTGTTATCGTGTGATGGAGTGATCGTGCGCTTGTGCAATTGTGCGATTGTGAAATGGTACTGGCGTACTAGGGCAGACCCACGGTGAGTACACACATTAGCTCCTTCCGCGCAGCTGCATCGCAGCGATGACCTGAATTCCCCGCACGATCGAGACGGGGGCACTCTTTAGCTGTATATCACGGGGAAGACCTTGTATCATGAATCGAGACACAGGTATGGACAGCTGTCCTAAGTGTTTAATGAGCGCTGATCACTTGGGCTTGGCACATATATATTATGTGTACATAGCACAGGTGTTATCAACAAGCACACCTCCTGAAAGGGACGTACATTTGCTCGTTCCATGAAGCCGATTGAGGTGCGATACCTATGGGCCAGCTTCGCGGGGGTCACAGTTGCAGAGTTGGCGTTGCTTCCAAATTGGTGAGGCTTCCAACGTGGCGCGGCTTCCCAACTCGACACGAATGGCGAACTCAAGAGCAGGCGAGATTTCCTTCCACTTTAAATCGTGACATGGTTGTGTAAAGGCAAATTTTCTCGAAGAGCTCTTCTTATTAATAGCCACAGGAATGAGTGATGACTTCGAAAAGCGTAAGGGGTAGGTAAAGTACAACAGTGTGTATCCGAATTATTTTACACGTGGGGGGGGGGGTTAATATACATTTCGAGTGTGTGGGTGTAGGGTTCATGGGGTGGTGTGGTGGGAGGGGGTTTTCCCTGCACACGTTCGAGTATGTATATGCTATTGTGCGACAGTTTAGGGGAAATTAAATTAAATTTTTTTTTTTTTTTTTTTTTTTTTTGTATAAATGAAAAAGGTTTATGATGCACACGGATTGGCTTTTCTTGAAAAAGGGAGACGGGGGGGAAAAAGCGGAGGGAAATAGAGGCAGGAAAAATAGCCACAGGAAAGTGACCTGCCTTTTGTGTAAAAACAGAAAAAATAAAATATAAATTTTTGTTTTTATTATTTTTTTTTTGTGAAAAAATTGTGACAATTAAAGCGAAGAGAGTTGTACAGGGGGAAATTCGTTTTTTTTTTTTTTTTTTTTCGTTTCGTCGCTCAATCACTTGGCCGTTCCGTTTGACTTTTCTTTCTCCCTTTGTTCAAAATGTTCCAACTCACCAAAGTGTTTACAAATTGGGTAGGGAAACAAAAATATTTAAAATGGTAAAATGGGGACCAGCGGTACAGGTAAGATCCTCTCGCACAACCGCAGGACATTACTGTTTGGTGATTTGCTCGGAAACAACTTGCGATAAGGTTAAGCGGGGAGGATGGTTCAAATGGTTGGCCCTTTTTTTCTTTTTTTTTTTTTTTTTTCCTTCAAATGAGTAAAAAAAAAGGGAGGATTCCTTTTTTTGGTGAAATTACATACAAATATTATAGTAATTACAAAAAAAAAAAAAAAAAAAAATTAATTAGCTACAAATGGATGACGTTTGGGGAGTTGTAGATGAAGTAAAAAAAACAAAGCCGTGGAGAAAAAAAAAAAATAAATAAAAAAGAAAAGAAAAAAAAAGCAGAGCTAAGGCGTAGCATATAGCGCAGCACAGTCTGAGGGGGAAAGGCAGAATAACGAGGCTTTAAACTAAAAAGTTGAGGATCAAATATTGTACATGGTTAAAAATTCGGGGGTTGGCTCGGTGGGCATATACATGAAGTTGTATGCATATAACAATTATATTTTTTTACGTACTGGAGAGCGCTTGGGCGGTACAAGCGCAATGGTGTTTTTGTGCCTCCTTGCCCTGCATCAGCTGCGGTCACCCAACTTTTGGTAAACAACGCTCCTGGTGACATGTACAATACAAAAAAAAACACAACGCCAAATGTAACCCACGCTGCTGGGCGGAAGATCGAAACGAAATGAAAGTTTTTCTCTCTTTCCGGATTGAAGTTAAGGCATATTTGGCAATCCGGTCAAGTGCAGCATATTAGTAAGTTATATTATTTATATATATGTAAATGGTGGGTGCCGGGTCCACGAGCAAGTGGCATTTATATGTATTCACTAGTCAGGGCTCTACCGATGGGTCCAATACATTGCCTCATAACGTGGGGCGGGAGAGATTATTGAAATGAGCGCGCGACGGTGCCACAGGGATATATATATATATATAACTGCCACGCTGCGATCGTGTGGAACGAACGGAATGGCAACGGTCACCTTGTTCCTTGCTGCCCATCCATGCGCGGCCACGCAAAAGTAACGGGAAAATGTAGGCAGCCAATTGGGGGGAGAGAAAAGGAAAAGAACATAAAAGAGGAATAAGAAAAACAGAAAAGAAGGTAGGAACTAAACGTTCGCTTCCTCCCAATAATACATATATGTATACATATGTAATGCGCAGGGGCGTAGCAAAAATAAAAATACGTACACAAAATTCTCGCTTTAAAAAAGAAAGGCCATTTTTTTTTTTTTTACGAATGAACGGAACGCTGCTTAAACATGGGAAGAGTTGCGCCAAAAAAAAAAAAAAAAAAAAAAAAAAAAAAAAAAAAAAAAAACACGCAAGTAGGCAAATGGGCAAAACGCACAAATTGGAAAGGACGGCATCGTCAGTTTGGTCTCTCCCCCTGTCCTTTCTTAAAAAGGTTTAAAAAGGATTTAAAAAGATTTAAAAAAGCTCACAGAAAAGTGTGAAAGTGCAAGCGCATCGGCCCGCCAACTGCTTTATTGGCCAACCCACGCATGTGCCCATTTGTGTGCACACTGAGCCATGGAGGAAAAGCATACAGCTATGTATGTTTGGCAGACATATGTCCACGCCGCCCAGTGTCACGAACGCAGAGGGGAAAAGAAAACCCAAAAAAAGGACAAAATTGAAAAACAACTTGGGATGACGGATGTATGTGCTATGAAGTTACAAAAGTTGTGCAGGAAAAAACTGCATCGTGAAAAATGCCCTCCCTTGCTGCCCCATCAAGGAAAAAAAAAAAAAAAAAAAAAAATGCGACGTACGCCAACGTATTGACGCAAAAGTACAAAGTTAAAATGACGTAAAAAAAAAAGGAAGCGTGCGTGTGTGTTGGGTTCATTACCAAATGTGTGCCCTTCTTTGGCATTTCTTTTTTGCTGCGCCTAAGTTGGCTGCCAGTTGCCGCCGACCCGCACCACTTTGTTTTTCTTCATCATCATATTTAAAATTGCCAGCACACTGGGCTGAGACAAATTGCTCATTCCTTTTTCCGTTAGGATTCTATTCAAGCTACTCACAATAAGAAATAAAGGAGTGGAAGTGTTCCTCCCGGGCTCTGCCTTCATTTTGTTCATACGATCGGTCGTTATTTTTAATATATGGTTTTGGTAGAATTCGTAAGGCTCTTCCAAGTTGAGGTTGTCAAATGTCTTCCTTTTTTTAATTTCCTTTTCCTCATCGTTGTCCGTCACCACGTCGTCCAGGAAGAAATCCACCGGCTCGTCTGGCGGGGGGGGGAAGTGGTGAAGTGGCGACATGAAGCGACGCAACGGGCATGACACGTCGTGCAAGCGTATCAGTCGACATGCATATGAGCCGACACACGGATGGAGCGACTCCCCATCATGCGCATATTAGCATGGTCATGGCCACGCGCACTTGAACATGCAGGTCATTACTCATACTACTACTACAGTTAAAGCTACTGCCTGCTGGGTTGGTTGCCTCTCCCTGCTTGACTCCTGAATGGTCCTTAACTGTTCCATCGCTACTGCCTTTGCTCTCACTCAGATAGGACACTAAGTTATTTGCTACTCGTTTTTCTTTTGCATATTTGTTGCCTCGCTTTCCTCTCGTTCTTTTTTTTTTATCATCGGGGTGATTCATGTCGGGTGCCTTTTCCTGGCCTCCCTTGCACGTCCTGCCACGATTGCCACTGCGCGCACCAGCGCGTCTACGGCGACCGGTGGAAGACTCGGCACCTGGCCCCTGCACCGTGGAGCCGCCCCCTCTGCTGCTCTCCTTCTTCACCCCGCTGCTGGTGGTGGTTGCGGCGCAGGTATCGTTCGCGATGAAGGCAGCAGCACTCTCCCTCTTCGCAATCTCTTCATTCGGGCCACAGGTGCCTAATGCATTGTTCATACATGAAGCCATACTACTAGTCTCTAATTTCACTACACTACTGCTAACTGGGCGAGTGTCTTTTTCTTTTTTAATCTGTCCATTGCTGGTCGCTTCCCCCGCGACTGGCTCTCGCGATGCTGTGGTGGCTCCTTCGGTTTTTATTTTCACGACGGGAGGTGATGGCGTTGGTAAGGGCGCTGATGGTGGTGACGACGCCGATGTGGGTGGTAACGCCGATGGTGGTGATGACACCGATGGTGGTGATGACGCCGATTGTGGCTGGGGCGATTCCTGAGGGGCGGCAGCCTCCCCCCTTGCGCTTTTGCCCCTGGCGCACTTCTGCTTCTTCGCCAATTGAAGCTTACCCTCGTCGCTGTTCTGGGCGGACAAGTCGCTGGGTGCAATTGGAAGCTTCCTTCTCCTGTCGGTCTTCGGGGTGGGGTCAGGAGTGTTCGCTCGCTGCCGACTCGATCTCTGTCTCGTGAGCTGTTCCGACCGTTGCCTTGCTGCAGGACGCGTTGTTCCTCCTTGTCTTCGAGGCAAGCGCACTTGAGGTTGTGGCTCTTTGTCATTTTCCAGCTGTTCCCCTTGTGCTGTGCGCATCTCACCCGTGTCACGCAGCTGGAGGAGAGGACTACATCCCCCTGCCACGCCTCCCTCGGGCACCTTTTCCCACGATTCTACTTCCTCCTCTTTTACTCTCCTCTCACACACATCCGTGTCCCCCACAGCATCCAACTCCGATGTCGTGTAAACAATGAATTGAGTGGTTTTGTTATTCCTCTTATTCATAACTTTGAATGTGTTTCTTTGTAGAAGTTTCCTCCGAGCTAGCTTTTTTAATGTCTCCCGCACGAACCGATCTGGCAAATTCGTCTTTTTAATTAAATACTCTTCTGTAAAAAAAAGTTTCACATCTACATCATCCAACATTTTTTTGCTTCTAAACTTTTTTATTTCATTTTCCTGGTACTCTTTGAGGAAATTTAAATTATAATAAACGTTCTCTGTTGAAATATTTTTCCTGGTCACAGGTTCCACTAGTTGTGCATTTTGTAAATCCCTCCTTAGGTCAGCAGCATGTGTGTTGCCATCCATGTGCTTTGTCTTTACATCGACCATGTCGCATATTTTATTTTGACCTTCTTTTTGAGTATCTCCCTTGGGGGGTGATAAGGTGGTTGCTGCTTGTGCTGCGCGGAGGATACTCTCACTTCCTGTTCCATTTGTCCTCTTTTTAATGTGAGATTGTTCTAACTCGAGCAAGGCATCCCCCTCGGCTGACTCATTCACACAATGCTTGTCGTCCGTCTGTGTTATGGACTCTCCTCTTCCTTGGTGGGCGTCTCTTTGGTGGGCGTCTCTTTGGTGGGCGTCTCTTTGGTGGGCGTCTCTTTGGTGGGCGTCTCTTTGGTGGGCGTCTCTTTGGTGGGAGTCTCTTTGGCGGACGTCTATTTGCTGGACGTCGCTTTGCAGACGATAGGTTTCCATCAGTGACGACGCCTTCGTTCTCGCTTCTTCCTTACTGGGTACTCGTTCACGGAGTGTCGTTACTGCCCCTCGTGGAGCAGCCACCCGGGAACTCTTCCTACCCTTGCAAGTGGAAACCTCCTCCGACTTTTTAACCAAATGAAAATCATACAGCACAATGCGCTCGTTAACAATAATGTGTATCGTTTTACTCTCCCTGGACTTGTAAGTAGAAGAAATGAATATAAAGTCAAAATTATACATACCCTTACTTGTATCGAATTGCTCCGATTGTAAATTCTCCTTATACAGATCCATGGTCCTCATCTCAAGGGTGTTTAAGAACAAGTACACTAACCCTTCTGTTAAACTCAAAGTGAATAAATGATCGTCCACGGTCAAATCGAGGGAACACAAATTAAAAAGGAAGACTAGCTGTTTGTCTGTGTTTTTTTTTTGGTATATTTTATTAATGGTGTGAAAGTAGGCAGATAAAGTGTCTGGCATTAGTTTCTTCATGAGGGGGTCTTCCTCCTTCATGTCTTCGAACTTCCAGTACTCCACGTTGACCACCGTCATGGAGAGCTGCACGCCGCCGGCCCCCAGGAAGCACTCCCTCACGAGGGCGTGGTAGCTCGCGTTGTCCGGGGCGAAGCACTGGCTGGAGGTGAAGTGGTTGGCTCCCCTTACCGCCCCCTTGGCAGGCAACACTTGGTACTCCACGTCGGCTACGCTTCCGTCTCCGGCTACGCCTTCGTCTGCGCCTCCGCCTCCGCCGCTGCTCGCCAAGACGTACCTGTTCACGTAGGGCAGATTCAACAAGTAGTTTTCAAACATGTCGCTAATCATATTTTCCATTCGTGTGAAAATGGAGAAACTAAAATAGCCTTTTAAATACTCCAGGATGAATAAGTGCCTTTTAAAAATGTGAATTTCCTTGGGCTCCTTCGGAACTCTGTCTTCCTCCCCCTCATCTGTGCTTAGTTCATTTTCCGCATAAAAAAAATTCTGCTCAAATTGTTTGCATTGGTGATCCTTCTTCTCCGTGATATCGTTTTCACAGTTGTGTGGTTCATTTGTGATTTTTTTTTTTTTTTTTTTTTTCTCATCTGATGATCCTTTGGAAGTTTTTCTAACAACCTCGTTGGAGGATTGTTTGCTTCGCTTGTCTACTACACTTCTAATTTTGTTCCCCACCTCATGGGGTACTTTTTCCCTGGTCAGCTCTTCCGGGGCGACCTCTTCCGTGGCGACCTCTTCCGTGGCGACGTCTTCCGGGACGACCTCTTCCGTGGCGACGTCTTCCGGGACGACCTCTTCCTTCATGCGCATATGAGAAATGTCTGCCAAGTGCATGCGAGCCGCGTCCATGTGTTGTGCGCCCATAACACAACTCGATACCATGTTAGCTTCTTTCCCCCCCCTGCGGTTAAAAAACTTCACGTAGGCGTGGGGGCCCACGCGCGCGCCCTGAACGGCCCTCGCGCTGTCGTGGCAACCGAACTTGTTGAAGAACAAGTAGTGGTAGTAAAAGGGGTCATGGATGAGGTGCTGCTCCGAGTGTTTTTTCTCACCGTATTTTGTACGAACATATTTTTCAAAGTAGTATGTGTTCAGGTAGAAGTAGGAGTTCACATACGTGTCGCAAATGTGTTGATAATACTTAAATAAGAATACGTCGAGTCCCCCTACGATGCTAATATACAAAGGCATAAACCGAATGTCTATTTTTTTTTTTTGTTTCTTCTTTTCCTTCTCCTTGTACTTTTTTATTTTAATTCTCTTCTCTTCGTTGAATTCATGGTAGGGTTTATACTTAATAAAACAAAAAGAGCTATCATGCTCGAAGGTCAACAAACGACGCACTTGCTTGCTGTCCACAGCATACGTCGGTTTTGTTTCGTCCATTCCTTCCTCCAGTGGGTAGCTCTTTATCTCTTCCATGGACTGAAAACAACTTCTATCACTCTTCTCCCCTTTTATTATTTTAAAATCTGCTGCGCTTAGTAGGCTCAGATATTTTTCGCCACCTCTACTAGTGAGCTCATCCATGTTGAAGCATATCTTTTGTGTATCCTCGTCACTTGAATCCTCCTCCTGTGAATTTGAACAGGAAGAGGATGTGCAGCTAAGGGGGGGAAGGATGCCACCTTCGCTGGTATTGCTTTTCATCATGTTGATATTTTCCTCTTCCTTGTTCCAATCATAGTTTAGAAAATTCCTCATTTTATTAAAAGTGCTCCCTTTTTTTTTTTTTTTTTTTTTTTTGTTTTTGTCCCTTCCATCTTTTCTCCCCATATTGAAGACACAAATTGTTAACGTACTGGAGGCATTCACTTGAGCTGTAGCTCTCTAGGGATTCTTTTCTTCGTGGGTTCTCTTCACTCTGCGTGAAGTCTCGTGCACCCTTAGTGATACCCTTCTTCGTCGCGATGGAAACTTCTTCATTCGTGCACAAGGATGTGGAGAAGCTTTTCGTTTCGTCCCATAGGCCGTCATTCCACAGCTGCTCAGATAAAATGTCTGCGCTAAGTTGTTCTCCCCTTTTCTTTCCCTTCCTGGTGGAGTGATCCCTTATGCTGATTCCTCCTCCATCCTCTTCCTCACCCTGTACTTCATCTCTCCTGTGAGAAGTTACTAACGAGGAACTTCCACAGGACAATACGTTGGGCCCCTTCCCCTTGTCTCTACCTGCCACAGAGTCATTCTCCACAGACCCCTTAGACGCTTTCAATGAAGATGTCTTTTTTTCTGAATCAGGGAAAAAGTAATTCGCCTTCTCTCTCTCGTAGGCCAGGTAGTTCCTACTCTCCACACGCTTCACTCGGAAGATGCTTCGCTTGGTCGAGTCGCAGCTGTCACTTGAATAAATGCTCCTCCCCATTCGAAAGGTTTTCTTAAATATTTCTTCGTTGACACTGGAGAATTTCATTTTTTTTTTCGAATTGCGTTGATGGGTTTGGTGTTGTCTCGGGGGCAGGCGGCACGCGCTGGGTGGTTCCGCGGTGGGTCCGTCTTCCATCTGCTCATCTTTAAACCGGGGGATGAGCCCCAGGAGGGGGGCGGGCTCCTCGTCCGGCAGCACGCTCCGTTGCTGAGCTGGGTGGTGCCACGGCTGGTTACGGAACAGCTGTCGCTTTTGTCGTTGATGCCCCCCCGCGGGGAGGGATCGTAGGATGTGGCTCAAGATATGAAAAGTTATTTTCTTTCCATTGAAGTAGCTGTCCAGGTGTCTCCTGAGAAACCTCCTGTTCTCCTCCTTCGTATCTTCATATATAAAAAGGAACAGTCTGTTAAAAATGGACTCATAAAAATCAGCAGATTTTTCCACGTACATTTGAAGAAACTTGAAAATGCTTTTCATTTTTTCCTTCCGTGTCATTTTAATCATTTTCGTGATTTTTACAAAATTGAAAATAAAAGATACTACTCGTTCGGCATCCACTGTGGGGGGGACGACACAAGGTAACTGTTTCTCGTTTGTCTTTCCCTCAGGCAATGTGTGCGCCGCCCCGCCGAACAACGCCTCCATGAGCAGGTAGTACACCTTTTTGAATATGACCAAGTCAGGTACTTTTTTTTCTTTCGTGTCCAAATCGAGGAGGTAGTTCAAATGGTAAATGAACTTGATGTCCTCCAGTCCACTTTTGCATTGCTTAAAATTTTGTAGCGCCTCGAGGAGACAGTGCTTCTTCATGTTTAGGGTTTCTTTTAGGTAACCCGTGAGGATGGTTAGGGCGAGACGAATTCGTTCCACTAGGGAGGGGGAGGTCGTGCTTTTCCCCTCGATCAACTCAAAATTTGAGGTCCATCCCACATGCATGTCACCCCATGTGACCACGTCGGCGAAGTTTGCTCTTGTTAGAAATGGGGGGGAGTCTTCACATGTGATGTTGTCCTCCACGCTGTGCACGCTGACGTTCGTGTGTCTGAAGAGTAGGGTTCGCTCCTCCCCCGCTGCTTCTTCCTTCTGCGCCGCTTCCTTCTCCACCGTTCGCTCCTCCTCTGGTGCACCCCCCCCATCAGTGACGAAGAGGTACTGCTTCTTCCCCTTGTACTCGTGCACACACTTTGCGTTATTGAGGAAGGAAAAGTTGAAGTCGCGATAGTTGCTCATGAGGGAGACGAGTCTACCCCCCGGCACCACGCCCATCGTTGTCTCCCCCTTGGGACGCACGTATATGTGTTCCACCTGAGAACCCATCTCATTCTGCCTTTCCCTCCACAGCAACCACAAGTAAGTACTCCTTCGGCTGTACCTATTGTGCATGTACACGTAGCTCTTCTTGTTGTTCTTCTTCTTCCCCCCCTTGATGTGGCCTTTGCATGAACTTTCTTCACCACGTTTTTTCTTCTGTTTTTTAAATAAAGGTCCATTAAAGTTGTTGAAAATGTTAAAGTCACCATGGTGGGTAAGGTTTATGTAGTTGTTGTCCCTCACCCCCAGGAGGATATCTAGGAAGGAGGTAAAGAAAAGGAGGAAGCAAGTTACGACATTAGCCAAGTGATGTGTATTATTAGATTGTAAAAATTTCTTCTGAATCGTTTGTAACATTTCTTCATATAATTTTTTAATAGCTTCTGTGAGCACGTGCTCCAATTTGAGGTTTCTAAATATATCCCCGATGACAGACAGGTGCATGTACTTCAGGGGGATGTTGTTCGAAATGTCCACGCTGCTTAAATGTCTCATCAGTTCCTTCCTCTTCCTTCTTCTGAATAATTTTTTGGTGAGTTCCTTTGACCCTTCCACGTGCGTAGCGCTTCTGTCCCCGTTGCGGACATCCACATGTGGGGAGATGCCGTCCACGTGTGTAGCGCTTTTGGCCCCGTTGCGCAAACCCACATGATATGGGGAGACCCCCTCCTCGAGGTCCTTCCTTACGCACACAAGCGGGTAGCCATAAACGAAGTTCAAGATGGAGTTCCTGAAAGAGTACTCTCTCCCCGGATTGATAAAATGAAAAAATTTAAAATTGTTATTCAACTGGGTAATTTCGTAGTCCAGGGGGGGGTCGCACGCAGCGCACGAATCGGACGAATCGGCCAAAGGCGGCCAACTGGCCAAAGCAGACGGACGAGACGGACGAAACGAACCGGTGGCGCCCCCCCAATCGAAGGTGTTACAAATGTAAGGGAAGACGTACTTATTATCGTCCACAAAATGGATGGAGTATTTTTTTATTTCTTTTCTGACCACATGGTTATGACCCCCATTCATATTTGCATTGAGGAAGACCTCATCACAGTTTAGTTTCCTCTTCCTGTTAATCTTCTTCCTCTTCTCCATCGTTATGAAGATCCTCAAGTTTCCATATTCTTCTAAATTGCTTTCATGAATAATTTCGTACAAAGAGGATAAATGGGATAAGAGTAGATGATGATCCTCCTCCTTATGTGTGTCTTTTGCTGCATATATTTTTCCTTTATTTTGAGGTGGGCAAAATTCTTTTTTTTTTTTTTTTAAAATTTTTTGCAAGACACAATTCACATTCGTATCATCCTTACCACAGCTAGCCATATTATACAAACAAGACGTATACACATCCATGGCGTTGTCATTTACTCGAGTAACCTTCCCTCCTGTGTGGTCCATTTTGTAACCCTGAATTATGTGCTTCAAAAATGAAGTAACATGATGAGGGATATTCATATAGTCTAAACCGAATTGTGACAAGAATTTTTTTCTTTTTTTTTGTTTGAGGAAGCATTTCTCAAGTTCGTACTCGGAGGCATATTTCTGTGAGAAGGAACTGCCGTTTCCTGTTGATTCACCTTTCTTCATCTCCTTCCCCTGGCAGTACTCTCCATACTTAAAAACAAAACTGAGCAGGAGCTTATAAATGAACAACTCGTTGTTACTCCTTTGCGTTTTCATAAGTGCATGCAACAAATGGAAGGCCTTTTTCACGCTGCCTATTTTGACCAGCACCTCATCCTGGACACAGCCGATACTTTTGCTCATGAATTGTATTATGTCGTTTTTTGCAAAATATTTTAGCTTGTTCAGGAGCAGGTAGTTTTCGTACTCTCTGGTGTGCTTCCTCTGAGTGAAGCGATTGGCCTGTGTGAAGCGCGTCGCCTGAGCGAAGCGAGTGGCCTGATGGGACGCTCCCCCATTGTTGAAATTATCAACGCTGGACAGCGAGAACCACTCGCACAGGAGGTCCTCCTTCTTCTCTCCCCCCCCTTCGTCGCCACAACCCAAGCCAAGGTTAGCATTCAACACACAGAAAAAGTACTCGAACAAAAGAATCACGTCTGCAAAAAATTTTTTCACGTAGGCACATAGGTACTCCTTCAAAATGGACACGTCATATGACAGGTAGTTTATCCTGTGCCTCTTCTCTTTGTAATAATTCTTAACGTTGTAGAAGCGGCTCTGCATTTTTTCCTTCCTATCGAGCAGGTGCTTGTCTAAGGTGCACTCACATTTTGTGCAACGTCTTTCGTGGCCTCTTCCGTGGCTACCTGTCCCCTTCTGCGCGGGGCGCCGTTGGGGCCTCTTACCACTCCGGGATGGACGAAGCCTCGCCATTTTCTCACGCACAGGATGGGTACCATTGCACGCGTCGCTGCATACTTCGTCGCCCACCGCTTCCATCGCTTCCACTGATTCATCTGCCGATTCTCCCCCTTCCGTCGCGTTACCTCCTTCCTCCACGTTGCCTCTATCCTGCCGACTCAGCCAGACAGAGTCCCCGTCTTCCCCCCGCAGCGCCCCTAACCTCTGCTGCATCACGAGCTCCACGTTCCTCTGCTCCCAACTCTCCGCTGGCGCGCAACGGCAAATGTTTGCGTAGAACAAATTCAGTTGCTCGTTCACCCCCTGTATCATGCCAAACAAGTTGCTCCTAATCTCTTCGTCCTGCCTTTTAATAATGCCTAATACCTCCACAACGATATTGTAGTACTTGTCTCGTGTTACCACTTCTCCCCTTTCGTCGCGACCACATCGCTCCCTAGCCTTCTGCACAACCTTTTTGTAGAGTGCGTTTTTGCTCCTCACCAGGGCTCGCACCTTGCGTCTTATTCGCTCTACGTTTAGCGATTTCACCAAGTTGCTTTTGTACAAGGAGAGGATGAAGAGGTGTTCTTCCCCTTGACGTGGTGCATCATCAGGTTGACACCCACTGGAGAATTTTCTATCGCGACAAGTTCCCCCACTTCGGCTCTTACATTTTCTACTCCGCTCACTTTTCTTCCTAGCTGTACTTTTTTTACTTGTCTTGCCCTTTGTTTTTGAGCCCGCGGCAGGCCCCGCCCCCATCTGCCGCGCCAACCTGAAGTAGGCGTACAGACGAAGTCTGAGCGCTCGCAGGTGTCTCACCCGTCTGGCCCTCCTTAGCCTCGTTCCGTTCACTCGGGGGACAACCACGCCCTCCGCGTGGCTACCTACCGCGAGGATGTTATTCCCCCGAGAGGAAGTACCCACACTACGCAGCAAGCACGTCCTCCATTTGCCAACGGAGTCTCTCCTGTTAGAGTGACCCGGAATTCTTAGCACCTTCCTTTTACTGCGCCATTTGTGGCTCCCTCCCAAATTTACTCGCAAATCCTTCCTGGTGAAGAATTCAAAGGAGTAGAAATTCATCGAGTGAAAAAGGAAGTTTCTCCTCAACATTTTTACATGCTTCGAATTGGACGTCGTCCTTCTTCTCCTGTTTCCCCTGTTGTTATTCTGCATCGCGTGAACCTTCTGCTTGTACTTTTTATAAACCGCTAAAAGGTACTTAACGACTGGCTTCTGCAAATGAATTTTTTTCTCAATCATGTACTTGGTTAGTTTTATAACTTCTTTCATAATTTCTTTGTACTTTTCTACCCTAAGGTTATGTATAATCTCGTCTGCAAGGGAGCCAGACAGCTGGGGTCCGCTGCAGATCGGTTCACCACAGTTAGCAGTGACACCCATGGAAGGTGCCCCATGTTTACTCTTCAAAAATATTCTTAACAAGAAAAAAACGGCCGCGTCAAGTCTCCGCTGGGTAGGAGAAAGACTACAAAGAAGTTCGTTAGCGCTGGTGAGGAAAGTCTGTTTTTGGTCACAACTGCCCCAGGTGCGTCCTGCGGCGAGATTAGAACTCTGCCAGTCGGTTTGCCTACCAACGCCACCTGCCCCGCACTGACCCAAATAGCTATATAAGGAAAAAATGTGCAGGGAGTACAGGTCCAGGTCCTCATACAGAATGGCCAGAATTTCAATTGAGAAATTCAGCAAAAGGTAAAAGCGCCCTATGGACTTTAAAAATACATTGTCGTAATTACTTAAAAAAATTTGAACTTCATTCGATTCATAATTTTTAATTGTATTGTTAAACAGATCCTTCATGATGAATTCTTTGTCTGCCTTCCCCTTGTCAACTTCCCGTGTGTTACTTCCATTCACCCCTTGGATCTTCACTTTATCTGTTTCCTTTTCCACTTGGCTGTTTTTTCCTTCCTTCTTGCACTTGGTCTTTTTTACGATTTGAATGTAGTCGTATATTGGCTCAGGGTAAATGGAGATTTTGGGGGGCGCCATTTGTCTTGAAGTGGCCGTTGCCCCTTTAACCGATACCCATTTGGAGGAGGCCGCTAACCACTTGGAGGATGCTCCCCCCCCCGCGTGCCTATAGTCAAAGTTAGCTAAGGACTGCACATTTATGACGTCCCAGAATTTTTTCACTTGCACATTTTTTATGTAATCTTCAATTTTCCTTTTGACCAAATTGATCAAGTACAAATCGGTTATGTCTTCATTCCATAATTCTCCTTTTTGCCTGCACAGGTCAGGTAAAAATTGATCTTCCCTCTGATGGGTTACATAATCTGATTTATTTTTCACGAATTGTTGTTTCTTCCCCGTTGGGAAAAAGGATACCTGTTTTAATTTTTTCCATCTGTCTTCATCCAAAATGATGCTTTCCACTAACCCCTTCGCACACTCGTTCATGTCATACCTACTCCTCTGATCGAACAAAAAATTATCCTCTTCTGAATCCCTTTCTTCTCTTCCCCCCCGCACTAAGTACTCCTTCACTTTCTGTTTCTTCCTATTTTTATTATAAATGTTTATCAAGCATTTTACCCTTTCACACCAGGCGTTTAAAATTTGGGGGAGAAATTCGCTCCGATTTTTCCTTCCCCAGTTGTGTTGCTGCTGAGGCCCATGTGCACACCACCTCTTCCCCATCACCCCCCTCCTGCCGTTGCTGCTGCTTCTGCTGCTGCTTCTGCCGCTGCTCCTCCTCCTTTTGTTCTCATTCAGCAGGCACTCATCACAAACGTCACAATTTCTAAAGGGGAAGTGAAAAGGGTACACAACTTTACGAAAGCGCAAATAAAAATTGTCTATATTTTTCCCAATGCTTTTTAAATGAAAAAATAAGTTATGAATGAAGAGGTCTATTATGGGCACTACGTTTTTGCTGTTAATGCGGCTGGCAAAGTTGCTCTTCACGAATGGCAAGTTTTGGTGATCTATTCCGATGAAACTTTCAACCACGTCGTGGTTTGGTTCTTCACCCCGTGGCGGCTTTTCTTCCGCGTCCTGGTACGCGTCCTTGTACGAGTCCTTGTCCGCGTCGTTTTTCACTTTTGTCTCCCTCCATTTTGCTCCCCCCAGTTTGTTGGGGTATGCAGTGGGGCATGCAGTGGGGCATGCAGTGGGGTATACACTGGGGCACGCAGTGGGGCTGCCGTGGTTGTTTTCCCTTTCGCAGTCACTGCCTGGGTTGCCGGCGGGCCACGCCCTGTCCCTTCCCTTACACTTGGCAGTGTTGTCTATGGTGGGGCATAATCTGGTTCCCTTCCGTCCGTCATGCTTAACACCTTTCATGGGTTGCGCAGTTTGGCGAGTAAAGAGCCAAAGCCGTTGATCACGCAGAGGTTGTTCGTGACTGGCTCACGTGTGCGTGACACCCACGCATGAAACCCACGCATGCACAGGCACATACACACACGCGTTCAACGCTCAGGTGGACTCTATTCGCTGCTCACTGCATTCGCCTTGCTTGTCACTTTGCAAAAAGGCCAAGTTTCCTTGCTCCCTTTTACGTTCTCTTCCCTGTTGTGCGTTTCAGATCGGCTGTTTTTTAAGCCCCTGATATTTGGCTTTTATTTTATTTTATTTATTTATTATATTTTTTTCAATTCACCAATAGGGGAATAAAACTACAAGTTGTGTGTCCCTCTCAGTCTGCTGTGCTGCACCCCCCTCTGTGTACCCTTCAGGCACCAGTTCATATGCGCAAGGGGATGAATTTTCCCTTAATTCTCAAGCGCACGCGCACCGACAAAGCTTCGCATGTACAAATGGAGACAATTTCGCCGGGCACCACGCGCTAGAGTCGTGTGCACCAGCACCAAAAAAAAAAAAAAAAGGAAAAAAAAAAAACGTGCAAAAATATTTACAAACGAATCTGCAAATGAATGGGGTCATAAAGACTTACATAAATGTGTATCTGTGTAAAGGCGATACGGGAACACAGTGCCCGAACGGATTAGGGGCAGGGGGAAAGGGACCTTCACTGCCGGACGAACGTTTCTGGCCCAGTTCGTAATTGCCCTTTCACCCTTTTCACCAGTGCGCAAGAGTCCCAGATGATTAAAGAATGAGGCGGTCTGCGAGAAAAACCTGTTCTGGCCAGCACAAATGGGGAACCCTTGAGAGGTACGACAAATTGCTGTTAAGTGGTGTTGATTCGTGGGAAGGGCTTAACTTGGTGCGTTGGTTCATTGGAAGGGGGCATCAGTACACGATGGAGGTACACACGACAGGTGGTATACTACAGCTGCATGCGCATGTGCATGCACACCTTTTGGTTCACATAGAAAACTCTTCAGGCCTCATCGAGGGCTCTATCAAGAGGAAGCGGCATGGCCTTTGTTTGCTCGCCAAGCGTTCCGAAGAGGCGACCGCATGGAAGCACCACGCGTTGCTGGAAAGGGTGACTTGTACAGGTGTGCAAGGTCAACAAGGAGGGGGGGAAAAAAAAACTGTCAATTTTATTCACATATTTTAAAATGTCTAGCAGGAGTACCACTCCTTTGTGTATCTCCTTTTCCCTTTTAAGCATCTAACAACACAAGGGTGTAAACACGGAAGGTATCATCCGCGGGGGTCATTGTACGTTAAGCGACAAAGGGATTACAAAACTGTACGTTGTAAGAATTATATTTTATTAAAAAAAAAAAAAAATCTGCACAGAGTAGCAAGTTTAGCAAGTTCAAACTAAACAGGTGCAGCGCGAGGAACGAACATGCGATTAAGTAAACACAACTATACTACCCCAAACAAAGCGATGTAGTACACAATATTATGGTGTAGCTTAAAAATGGAGCTGACGAGTTGTATCTTTTTCTCTTGGTTCGTACAGCGTCATTTTTAAGCTGCCATTCGGTCCACAACTCTGTTCTCCTTCTGATTTCCGTTCTTGATACTTCTTTCATACAAGTGAACAGGAAAGGGACGCGAAAAGATTAACGCTGCTGACAACAAAAAAGGGATATAGGGTTACATGCTTCCGATACAAGCATTTTCCTATTTTGTCCCTTTTGCAAAAATGTAAAATATGACCATTATGGGGGGGGGGGGGGAAAAAAAAAAAAAAAAAAAAAAAAAAATGAGACA